GCATAAAATGTAATTGAATGCTTCATATTAGACCGAGGTTAAGGACATATACCCTATGAACATAAGTTTTGGAAGCAAACAAACAAGCCGGAAAACAAACATTCTAGAGTAACATTTGAAATGGGCCTATGTCCAAAACATAAACAAACCAGAAAATGAATTTTAAATTTTTCCACCACTATTCAATTCATATTTAAGAAAATTGAAGTATTTTAGGCATTTATATTGTTCACAACCTTATATAGTAACTGTATCCAGGCATGGAACATCATTTGCATTCATTTACATTTACATTTTCTTTAACAGCATTCCGCAAAATGATGCATAGAACTTTTGTAGGTTTTGTCATAAGCTACAACTTTTGTTAACAAGTCAAATCTTTATCTCTTATGCATCACGAACCAGAGCAAACAGAAGCCACTACTGTTTTTTAGTGAATGTATTTTACATTCACTGAAAAACAGTAACAAGTTCTGCCCGCTCTAGTTCGTGATGCATAAGAGATACAGATTTGAGTTATGAGCAAAACTTGTAGCTAATAACAAAACCTACAAAAGCTCTATACATCATTTTGCGGAATGCTGTTGATGAAAAAAGTTAGAGGCAAATGAATTTAACTGAATGTATGAAATGAATACAAATGATTTTCCATGCCTGACTGTATCTCAGTATACAACATCCAAAATATACGAAAAGCTTTCAAAAATGTATGAAAATCGATAACAATTTAATTTCATAAATTAATAAGCCTTTTTGTGAATCTTTCAATGGATAGGCCCTTTTTGTTAAGCCGTTGTGCTTGTCATCAGAAATGGTACGCCCTTTGCTAAGCCTTTCAAATAAATTCAAAACAAATCATCGGCCCTGCCTCAAGCAGTAGGGCCTAGCTTTGGTTTGAACATTTTCAATCATCGGCCCTTACGTGACTACACTGAACCAAATCACACTCCATTTATAGAATGAAACATCATTCAGTTGCATCCAATTTCAATGTTTCTGAAAACCGTACGAATAAATCAGTAGGATGATTTTCTATTCGGAAACATGTGATGCTCTTTTGATCAGTGAATGAATATTGACATGTTTTTGTATGTATTTCGTTAGCAATAAATATGTTAGATTTAATGAAAAACATTCAGTTTGGAAATATCATTTAAGATAGTCCCAAAACTAAAATCATTTGATTTCAACTATAAAATCTTTTATAACCGAAGAAAAATGGCAACACACGTTATGTGAAAACTTGATTGTAAAGTTGTTATATATTTTCAAAGGTCTTAAGAGAATTGAAGTGCTTAGATGTAAGTATACGTATCATTTTGCTAACCCACATGCATTTAATGTTCAAGAATGTCAGCATTCGGAACGGTCAGCGCTATTGGATCATCCAGAACGTCGTGGTCGACCAATTTTACCAACGAGACCAGAAGATAAGTTTCCTTCCAGATGCACATGCACGATGAGACTATTGAAGTTTTCCCATCATTTCCCAGGCTCCATAACAACCCACGGATATGTTTCCCATGAGACATTATTGATAACGCCTGTCTACGAAGCTAACATCAATCTGCTGTATAAAAACATCTTTGCCCTTCAATTGGCTCTACCTCGCCAGCATCATTCGTCTCTCAAGGACCCGCCAGCTCAGGTTAAATCTCAACTTGTAAATAATATAATTATAAATAAATTGTAAAATGACTTGATGTTGTGCACCTGATTTTCATCCGAAAATCGATCATATAATTTCAATTTAATAATTAGTTGAAAATAATACGAATATCCTATGATTTTATGTTTGATTTATGTCTACTTGGGTTTCGTAAATCGATCTAAAATCATTCATTATATGGATGATTGTCATTTGATTTGATCATATTCCAACAGATGATAAATCGAATGAAGATCCTCTCAAAATCATCGCATAATAGTTATAGGGCTTGAGTGAGGCAATAATCATTCGATGCCAGGATGATGTTTTGGTTCAGTGTAGGCTTATCAATGAAATGAAATAAATGAATGGTTGGCCGTTTTAGCGTGCAGGCCTATTCATGAATCGAAAAATTTCGTTGGTCGGCCATTTCGAAAATCGAGTTATTTTTAATGATTTTTCTCGAATATGCGGAACTTTCCTACCCGATTAGTAGCTATCAAGCGGTGCTAAAGAATGGTATCAAAACCCGATTTGTTTACGTTTTGGACATAGGCCCATTTCAAATGTTACTCGAGCATTCATTCATCAGTCCGCATCGTGCTCTCTTGTCGTGCGGATCTATTTGCTTTTTGCTGAAGGAAGTGTTACTGCTACCTTAAGCTACAACAAATTTAAACAGCACTTTTCAGTGTTCAATATACCAGTAAATTGTATACCTTGTTCGACTCTTATTCCTCTTCGATCCTTGTTTGGACCCTATCCGAGGTAATGCTGCTTGGATATCGATTTAGAAAATTCCTCTTCGATCCTTCAGATTCTTGATCCGCTTGAAAGTCGATTTGGATAAACGTTTTATCAATAATCAATACGAAACTATCGATTTGAAATTGGTTCACTACTTGACTAACCTATTGGTCCCAAGCAAATCGATTAACGTACCCCATTCTAGTTTAAATTCTAGTACTACACTATGTTTGTTTTGATTCTCTATGAATGTTTGACAGATTAAATGAGGGGTTCGTGGATTTACCCGAGGGGGACGACTCTATGTACGATGCAAGAAATACTGTGTTTTGCTGTGGCTAGCTGCACGTACGCTGAGCAGATAGAAAGAAGATTTATCACGATTTTGAAGATTTCCTGCAAAAAGACGATGCGCGATGCAAGTAGATGCGAGAAATGAAACAAGATTTTTCGAAGATTTATTCGCTAGTGTGAAATTTTTTGAGCATCTAAAATTGAGATTTAGATGTGTCGCCCCCCTCGGATTTACCTATGTTTTGAGGAGTGCATCGATTAGCTTGGGACCGAAGATAATACCAGAGCTGAGCCAAAAAGTTGAGCACGTTTCTTCGGGACCTACTAGTTTTAGAGTTACCTCTATGGTTTCAATACTGCCATAGCGCCTAAGTGCAAAAGAAAGGGGCAATATCTTGATCCCCCTTCTGACGAAATTAATTCGAGTAATCAATTTGATTTGCTTACGGATGATGAGAATGATCCAACATCCAGGAAAAAATCTAATAAACTTTCCCAGCTTACTGCCAAAAAGGAAAAGATTCCCTCTATTGTCAACCCATCGAGCCTCCCTCGGCCGCTTCGGAGCAGAGCTGGTAAATATCACGGCCGTCATGTGACGAAGAGAAAACAGGCCCTCTCACTATCACGAGATGAAACGACCTATCATTAGCTTTTTTGTCATTTTTCAATGATCAAGCGCTCATGAGAATAATTCGTATGTGATTTTGACATCAACATTTCTAACTGATTTAGATGAATTTAAGCAAACAACCGTATGTAATCGGTAGAGTGTATACATTATTAAGATTTCCTCTGTACTAGTAACTTTAATAGCATGTGAACATCGTTATTACTAGCTCATTGATTACGATGATCACAACACTGTCCCGTTCTGTTATGACAAAAAATTCGATAAGATTTTGAAGAAAATCTCTATCATCGTTTTCTCATCCAATGGTAGCGACAGAAGTATCTCTGTAAATATCGCGTGAGATCTTTCATTGAAAATGACATTTGCCAGCCCTGCTTCGGAGCACTCGTGCCGGCCTCAGTCCATTGCCGGGCACTCATTCTGTTCTCTGGGGTATAATAGGGGATCCAGGTTTCATCAACAGTTACCATCGACGCCAAAAGTCCGCCCGATTCCGCATCAGCAAGTTCAAACACTCTTTCGAAGTGCTCTCGCGTTCGTGTTTTTTAAACTGCTGAATTTCCAAGGCAGGAACAATGTAAAAGTAGTAGCTGGAGCACCTAGGTTAAAATGAAATGCCATCCAAATTATAAATCTCCTCTAACCTCGAGACAACCGCGAGTATCCGGTCCAACTCCTTTAACTTTAAATATAAGACATCAATAATGTATAACGAAAATAATAACTCGGCTCTGTAAAGTTTATTGGATTGAGCCTGTAGAAATAAAGTAATTAATAAAAAAATAAAATGAAATGTAATTTATTTTGAATTTAGAACAAATTAAGAGATAAAAAAAATTCATATACCACCATTCCGTGGTTCTACCAAATTTCGTAAAAAAATGGTAGTTGTGTTCCTTAACGCAAAATTTTAGATCCGTATTTTTTTTTTATTTTGTCATTAGGGTGACCATTTACATGTTAGGGTGGTCCAAAAAATTGTTTTTTTATTCTCAAAAATTCATAACTTTTTAACCTTAACATGGAAATGGTCACCCTAATGACAGAATAAAAAATACGGGTCTAACATTTTGCGATAAGGTACAAAACTACCAATTTTTTACGAAATAATCCAACGATTTTGAAATATGTTCATAATTTTGAAATGCTACGTAGACTTTAAGGGGCGTTTAGGAGATGTTTCATAGAATTATACTGTAGTATATGAGGCGGAAGGGTTTGTTAAAAAAGTATCACATTTTGGTCTGCGTGGATCCGTTAGTAATTTGTATTACCCCTAAGGTGGTTCAACAATTTTTTGCATGGTATGAGGTCCTTTATCATCCTGTTTCAGATAGACTATAGTTTTTTCCCTTGATTTGTTTTCCGTCGATCTTGTTTTCCGTGCTGAGTACCAATGCTACCGACGCCAGGGAGACAGCTCCCACACCTTGACCCTACCTATCGACCCATCAACTCATGAACTGGGGTCAACGGCTTTACTTCCCTTCCGAGCGTGATCAGAGATGTTATGTCTCAGAACATCCCGGCGGCGCCGACTGGGATTGAACCCAGGCCTGCTGGGGTGAGACGTTATCACTCCATTTATAAAGCATCATAAAAAAACAATCAAACACCCAATCACATCGTACATGCTTATCTTCTCTCTCCGTATACTACTCATAATATACAACTCACCCAAAAGTAATCGTTAAAATCCACCGTCATCTTGTAGCCTGTATCTGAAATCCTATCTGTTCCGGCACTTTCGTTAGTTCGAAGCCGATATTTTCTGGCAATACTCCCCCTCCTTCTTCTTCTTTCTCTTCTGATTATTCACACTGAACTACTAAGCCACAGCCAACGACGGCACGACGGTCGTTTCCCTTTCGTCACTATCACACACATGCGATTACGCTTCCCCCTTTCTCCCGGACTGATAATCACACGTTATCACACAACGATTCTTGCCGCATTCCCACAGCAGCACTACCAGCAACCATTTTTGATGTTATTCCTCAAGCGTGAGATGCCTGACTCCTCTCGTTTCCTCCTGTCACATCCACTATTATCTAGGTAGGCGGAATCATTGCACACTTTCGCCAAACACATTCCACCAGGGGGCGTTGTTCTCTTCTTCTTCTTTCGATGATCAACCTGGATCAACTGTCAAACACTCGCACAATCACTTTTGATCTTCCATTAATTTTATTTCTGCTGAAAAAAAAATGATAATAATTTAAAAATTCACTTCGAACGACTTTTTTCGCAACACAAACGATTCATTCACATTGTGTAAAAATCTTGTTAGGGTCTGACGACTGAGGAAGGGGTGATACACGGTACCGATTTGAAGTTCACAGCACATTCATTGTCCATAAAACGGAACGCTACCCTTTTAAGTGTCTCGATCCGCGACGGCACGTGTACGGAAGAATGACGATTCCCATTAGAATAAAACACCCATTTGTTCCAGTGTAACTCGAGTTAATGTTTTTTTTTTAACGGGCTTAAAAACCGCCTAAAGTAACGCTGATGAATGCAGGTCCGACGTTATCGTCAAACTGTGTGCCAAGATAATCACCCGAGGCAAGTTCCAGCAGTTGAAGTGCACTTGAACTTGCTTGCTGAATTTCTGATAAGCACAAAGGTTCATTTCCTGTCGGGTTTTGGTCGCTCGCGCCGGTCAGACATCCGAATGCGAATGCGAGATGAATAAATTGTTCAAGTACTCAACGGAGGAGGCAAATGATTGACAACACTGACTGAGCGCTGCCTGCTGGTCCGGTCGACGGACGGAAATCTTTTCGGACTGTTATCAAACTGCTTGTTCCTTTATCATTCTTTTTTTTTTCGTTGTTTTATATTTGCATTTCTAGACTAACATTTGAAAGGGGCGGAAGAGCCAAAATGTAAATAAACCATATTTTGCTATATATAGCAAGAACAGTTCACAAACTACTCGATAAATAGGAAAAAGTAGAAGAAAATAGCATTTCAAATCATCGAAAACGTTTCCTTTTACATGGCGTATTTCCAATTGTCAACTCTATGACGCATCTGGTACATTGGACATGTTACATTGGACGAATTTTCTCAATGAAATAATCAATGAGTGTTAGATTGGACGTTTTGTTCTACATGATACTAGATTCCCTTTCACAGATTTCAGAGTAGAATACCTAACTTTAGATTGGCCCCGCCTTAAGAAAATGAGCACCAATCATGTTTGGTAGTCCGAATGACCGAAGTAACAATCATTTACCGATCATTTCAAACTGTACATTGGACAATTTTTGACCTATGATCATCTGAAAAAAATGAAAGTAAATTTGGATGGGTGTGTGAAATAGGATTAATTTTTAGGTCATCAAAATTCGTAAACGATTTTCTCGATATGGTGATTTTGGAATTCCGCCCTTTTCAAATGTTAGTGTAGATGTTTCGCCTCTGTAAATATGTACATGTGTGATTATTTTTCGCAGAAAATGCTCCCAAGTGGGTGTCAGCGCCGTCAGCTGATACAGATAGAGACGTCCGTAGCTGTGTATCTGCAATACAAACACATATGGCGCTTTAGTGTATATAAAGATGGCTTACATCGTTAATTGACCGCGCTGATATGGAGTACTCGGACTTGGTTCGTGGCATTTTGTGGAGCAATTTCACCATAGGGACAACGCCCACCTAAAAATCAAATTATTGAACATAGTGTACAAAAATCTCTTGCAGGCTTAAGGTGATTCCTTGAAGAGTACACAAAATGGCTGCCATGATGGCTGATATGCCCTAATAAGTTCCAGTTTCTTTGATGTAAGTTTTGTGCATTGGCGAAGCTAATGGGGGTGCCGAGGGCCCTTTTTTTGACTCACCGATAGTTTATCAAGCTTGTCACGTTTGATGTTACTATTTAACAGCGATTAATAAAATTGGACCACTGTAGAAGTTTTGCAAATTTCGTAGCATTTTAAGGAGCTGCATAAAACTTCATATAAGTGTAAAGAATTTTGAAAAACTTTCAGAGAAATTTGTAGAAGATCTAAAAATAGTTCAATTGACTTCTAAGAACTTCAGAGATCATCGCTTAAGTTTAGGGAACTTCGTTGCAGTTTGTCAGAGATGTTATTATTATTATTATTTATCTTTATTAGGGAGGCTTTCAGCCTTGGGCTGGTTCGCCTCCAAAATCAGAGATGTTAATTCAGCAAAGCTACATGAACTTTTTGGAGATTTTGGGAACTTCGTTAAATTTCAAGGAACATTCTAGTTGTTCAAGAATATGTGTACATGTCTTAGGTGTCTTTCCAGAAGTGCAAAGATGTTCAAAGATCTTCGTAGAATTAAGAGAGATGGGAAAAATATGGAATTTGGAATAAATTTAGGGAACTTCGTAGAGGTTGAGGAAATTTTATAAAACTTTAGGGGGGTTTGTATATATGCAGGAAACGTTGCATAAGTTACAGGATATTGTTTCAGACATTCTTCCTAGACAGCAGGAAATATTCAAAAGATCTCCACATAGACGAAGATATTAGTAAAGTTCTCTGGATATTTTTTCCAAGACTTCAGGTTGATCAAGTTCTGAGGATCTCCAACTGTTTAAAAATTCAAATATTCTTTCAAGACTGAAGGTTGTTCAGGAAGTATTCAAAAATTTTCCAGCTAATAGTTCCGATGGAATCTTGAATGATGAATCTAGATTTTATGGACATGTTTGTACATTCTCTATAGGGAAGACCCGTGCTTTGATGATTTAGCTATATTGTCAAGAATTAGCACTCCAGCAGCTGAATTCCGGGCATAAAATTCAACGAAGAAATGGAAATTTCTAATATGTATAAATTTCTGTGTGAAGTATTGAGATTAGTAACATTTATTTTACTATTATTTATCGACAGCTGTCTTGATAAAGGGTTATACGGTCAAAATTTGGTCAATATCAACTTGACGTATTTCTTTCAATTTTGCATTTAAAAAACCTGAACACCCCTCATTTTGAAGGTGTATGTGTGTAGAATGTTGCTCCTATTTTGATTTTGGAATTCACTCTTCAGTTGTCAAAATGCCGTCCAAGCAAGAAGAGCAGCGTATCAAAATTTTGCTCGCGCATCGCGAAAATCCGAGCTACTTGCACGCAAAGTTGGCAAAATCGCTAAAAGTTGCCAAATCAACCGTTACAAATGTAATTAAAGTGTTTGGGGAACGTTTGTCGACAGCCAGGAAGTCTGGATCGGGGGGAAATCGAAAACCGGAAGCCGCTGAGACGACAAAGAGAGTTGCCGGTAGTTTCAAGCGAAACCCTAACCTCTCTCTCCGAGATGCCGCAAATAAGCTGGGTGTACAACCGTGCATCGAGCCAAAAAACGAGCCGGACTATCGACTTACAAGAAGGTAGTGACTCCAAATCGCGATGATAAACAAAATACGACGGCCAAAGCGCGATCCCGGAGGCTGTACACGACGATGCTGACGAAGTTTGACTGCGTGGTAATGGACGACGAAACCTACGTCAAAGCCGACTACAAGCAGCTTCCGGGACAGGAGTTTTATACGGCAAAAGGAAGGGGGAAGGTAGCAGATGTTTTCAAGCACATGAAACTGTCAAAGTTCGCAAAGATATATCTGGTTTTTCAAGCCATCTGTACCTGTGGCTTGAAAAGCAGCATTTTCATAGCTTCCGGGACTGTCAACCAAGAAATTTACGTGAAAGAGAGCTCCGCCCAATTGAGAAATACTGGGCTATTGTCAAGCGGAACCTAAAGAAGACCAAAAAAACTGCTAAGGGCGAGCAGCAGTTCAAGGCAAACTGGCTTTCTGCGGCGAAGAAGGTGGACAAGGTGGCTGTACAAAATCTGATGGCAGGGGTCAAGCGTAAGGCCCGGCAATTCGGATTTGGAAAAGCGGAAGCCTAACTGAATATTTTTCCTGAATTTTATACTAATTGAACTTGAAAAAGAAATTTAATTTGATTTTTTAAATAAACGATTTCACCGATTTACACGCGTTTTCCCTTGACCAAATTTTGAGCGTATCACCCTTTAAAACATTTCTTTTGATGATTCTCCAAGTCATCTTTCAGAGTTTAGATGATTTGATCTATTACATCAATCAAGACTGGCATAATACATACTACAGGTTCGATCCATTTTCATGTATAGCAGATGTTCTAGGTCCTCCGAATTGTCCTGTAGTTCATATCAACTGATCTTCTAGATCTTGCAACACTATAACAGTAAATGTTGTAACAGGTAGTAACTAAATATATCAGATTCAGAGATATTATTTTCTCAGTATTCCGGAGAATTTCCCATTCCAGTCACCCTAATTATCGGCCAGCTAGCCAACTCTTCCTCAGAATCACCTCTTCAATTTCTAATTTCAGAGCATCAGTTAATGTGACTTACATAAAATGAGCTTTAGTGGTCTTTTAGAAAACTAAACTTCTGTCAAAAGAGTTAGGGAAGAATTGAAGAAATCTCTTTTAACATTTTGCTTATGAAGTCGCATATAAGGTACTTACAACGGATTTGTAGTAAAATGCCTTAACACATTTTATTTTTCAGATATTACTAAAATCGATCTGAACGACACTTCGTGCATATTAACGGGGTTCAGTTTTAATTTGAACTTCTAGTAACTCTATGACCATCAGAAAAGCCAATTTCTGGTAGCCTTATTTGATGTTACTTTTCACTTTACTCCATTCCATGTGCCAAACGACGTTTGAGCAATATTTCGTTTGCACACCGTGCAGATTATAGTAAAGCTAATTGAAACTATCAATCTTCACCATGTCGTAGATAGATATATCATTTTCATACCTGATGTTAATAACCCATTATCCATGACTCTGAATCTGAGTCCGATAACAAATTTTCCAACGTTTAGTGCTAAGTATTTTAAAGAAAAACGTGAAAACGAAAACAACATTATTACCCAAACTGAAAGGGCCTATGCCAGACTAAATATAGTCTGTCCTAAGGTTTCTGTGCGTAACAAATAACAATAGCTTACGTATTGTTTTAAAGAATATATTAAAATATTGTGATGTAACGTATTGTGCATAAACAATGGCAATCGCATGTAATAGTAAAACAGCGAAACCTGCAAATAAGCTGAATCATGAACCCCTAAAAATGGCGTGGACCCTTTAGGGGACATGCATAAATGACGTAGCATTTGAGGGGGGAGGTGGAGGTTTCAGAATTTGTGACCGG